GCCAGGGCTTTCACCCCAGCACCAAGAGCATCATCTGAATTGCAGGTTAAGAACTAAGAAAACATTCACCTAAAGGGTTATCACAGATGAAATTTTCAAAGAGCTTCAAAAGTTTACAAGCTGCTGTTGCAGTGACCTCAAAAATCATTCTGATGCTTTGAGAAAAAGTCATCTTGTCTCTGTTAGCCCAGGGTTACAGCACTGCTCCCACTGCCACAGCTCTGCTGCCCAGCTGGGCCATCAGGACATGTTCTGGGTGACACAAAGAACAAGACCAGGGTACTGCCTGAATCTGTTTAGTAGCCATCTCTAGTCTGCACATAAACTGTATTTCTATTTCACTTCCTCTTGCTGCAAATAAGCTCACAGGTACAGTGAGACAGCAGCAATAGGCAAAGATCTTGAATACTTTCCTCATCAAATGGGGAGAAAGTGTTTGGAAATGCAGTTCCCAGAGCATTCATTCAGCTTTCACAAGCTGTTTGCATTTACTGTTCCCCCCAGATTTCAGTGACAAGGAAAAAAAATGGAGCAGCAAGCAGACAGGTGCCTGAGATCTGCACACGTTTCCATTTTACATGAGTTCAGTGGTGCAAAACAAGGGTTTGCCTCATGCTGCCTATAATTACACCAATTTCCTAATTTGCCACCAGTGCACACACAAAAAAACCCCAGTTTGTTTTTCATGTGGGGTAAGTACCGGGACACAGTGACCCTGAGGAAACAAGATGAGGGGCCACCACTTCCAAACCCGTTCAGGTCAGCTCTACTCACTCAGTGAAGGGCTGGTTTCAGCCAGCTCCACAGAGGTAAGAGTGGCAACGCCTTGTTCAAGGGCGTATGACTGAACATAACCAATGTATGAAAGCTTACCACTTTGTCAGCTTAATGACCGTAAGCTATGCCAGCACCATTCTGTGATGCAGAACACTATTCGCAAAAGTTTCCCAGCAGACTGCTGAGGTTGATGCATCCTGCTCCACAGTGTGAGTGCTGCCACACCTGGGGATCTGGTCACGGACAAGAAGAGTTAACACAAGTTCTTCCAGCAAGACAGATCAGGTTTTCTCTGTGGCGGAGGGGAGCAGTGAAATGCCCCGCTGCTACTGCAAATGAACCAACTGGTTGGCCTCAATTACTACTTCAATAACCCCAAAGAAAAATACTGATGTGAAGATGCCCAGCCCACAGAATAGCTTTGACAATGTATTTACAGCGAAGCTGCTTCAGCCCAGCAATTCAAATGAAAGCAAGCACTCTGCAGCAGCAGCATGGCCTGAGGGAGACAGGCAGGCTTCAGCCATGGTTTACAGCCCATTGATTTCAGCAGTTCCACTAGGCCTGATGTTTTTTCTACAGGCGCAGGTGGTAAAAGAGCTTGCCCTTTACATTGCTTGAACAGCATGCTTGAAGCAGCCCTTTTGATATATGTTCATTTACTTCTTACTCTGAAATGCTTTGCATTACATTCATTAGAGCTTGGCTAACACTGCTTTTGGCCACTGGTCTTTAGAAAACAGGATAGCCAATGAAATTATTTTTGAGAGGTGCTTAGAAATTCAGGATCCAGTAACAGAGAGAATGGATGTCCTGATTATCAATACCTTAGAACTGCATCCCTAGAAACCTACTTCCTGCCCTGCACTCTAAGAGATCAAAAAAATATCTGGAAGATCCCTTATTAGTTGGTTACTCATCCACTTCTGAAATGCAGCCATTTCTTAGGTGGGATTCAGCACAAAAACAAAAGTATGCTACAAAAAAATTCAGAAAGCTTTACTCACTGAAGTCACTGGGGGAAGATTTTGGTAGCAGTGTTCAATTAATCAAGATAGCATTTGTTTGGAAGAGATGTCAGAACTTGCATGAAAAATGAACCAGGTTTCCAAATGCTCTCAGTGGTGAAGTTGCAGGCTTGATATCTTATCTGCTAAACTTCTTTGTTTCTTCTCAAAATATTTCATAGCACAAAAAGTTTGGGGCTTTCTGCAAATCAGTAATCCGACCTGATTCAGTACCTGGGCTGAACTCTGCTGTGTGATAGCAAACAAACCGCAAAGAGCGAGGCAAGAGGGAAATAAGATCCCCAGCTACGTTCCAAACTGATTTCATTAGGACCACAACAAATAGTCACACTGTGTAGGTCTTGGTCAAAAAAGTTGACTTCATTGCTCGTATTCTGCTACCTGCATGGTGCTGTTACAGCTAAGGAGGTATGGTAATGAGAGCAGAGCTGACAGCTACAAGGACACGGGGCAGCCCCTGAACAGCTCAAGCTGTGCTCTCACATGCACAGCTTCTGCAGTTCTTGTTTGAGTTACATTCAGCTCTGTGTTCAAAAGAACTCACTCATCTCAAGTATTTTGTTATTGTTGTTTCTACCTGTGTTACACTGCAACCCACAGTGCAAGTTCCGAGCAAAAAAAGGGCTGGAACATTTGCATAGAGAACATGGCACTTTAGTGACATAGCAAAAATAAGAAATGACTTCTTGCTTAACACAACAAATACCAAATAGGGTCCTTGGATTTCAAAGAAAGATGTAACCCAACGTAAAGTAGATCTGTGGGACAGATTAAGATGAGTGATTTTATTACAGTGAACAACCTGGGACCCAGGGCTGCGCAGTGCAAACACTTCAAAATAGCCTCCCTAAAAGAGACTGCCATCTAAATGCAAAACACAAGCAAAGACCAGTGAAACTTCTATTTTTATCCCCATTTTGCAGAAGTTGAAGTGTAGCTACAGAAGATAAAGTGATTTACCTGGAATTTAGCAAGAAGTTAGATTCTGCAGCTACATGCTCTGCCCACACGGGCCTCATCTCATCTGTCTCACCTTTTACCCCACCTAAAAAGCATCACGTGAAGCACAGTCTCTGTATCCACTATTCACCCTACTGTGAGCTACATGTCAGTGACAGAGGAAGCAGGGAAAGCCTGGCTTTGCCTGACCAAACTCTGTGTTTTATAAGAAAGTCCCCACCAAGCACCAGGACTTAAGTTAGAACTAAAGCTTGGTGTTCTGGGTAAAACAGAAGCTCTGAGAGAACTCGTGAGATTGCTACCTGGTGTCTACCGTGGGACAGTAATTCAACTCAGCTGTTCCCTTTCTTTCTGAGGGCTGGTCACAGCTGAAGTTATTTGCCCACAACTCATGCAATTAGAGAAGAGGTATTGCACATATTACAAAGTAACTGAAGTCACCAAAATCTCCACCCACAGACCCACAAAAGAGACTGAAGCAGCTTGCTGTTCTAAAGAAGAGGAAGAAAGAAATGGGAAAGTCAACTAAACACACACTTTGTTGCCCTCTACTGTTCATATGGTTAATGTCAAAGCAAATTTTCTCCGTAGTTAACACTACAGACCTGAGAAGAATGCTGCAGTAACAGATGACGCAAGCTAAGATGCATGATGGTATGTAATATTTGGGAGAAAAAAATCTTGGGCTAGGAAGAGACTTCTGCATTAGGAGTGCCCTAAAGAAAACCCAACAGCCTGCACAAGGACAAAGCATAGAGACAGAGGGCACCTTTCAGCAGCAAGCAACGAAACAAGGCCACAGTGAACAGGAGCAGAAATCAACAGGACTGAATGCCAGTGTCACTGCCTAGACAGTGCTGGATGCTGTGAGTCCATCAGTGCAATTTTCAGGGCTGGATTAGCCTTCACTAACCTTGACTATGAATTCATTGTGCATTGATACAAACACCTGAGCTGGCAAGAAAGTAGCACGGTGATTATATACCCTTCCTCCCAAGGTGTGCCAACACAGGCCAGAGATCCAGCTCAATTCAGTGCTGACAGTCCTGTCTGCTCTAGCTGATGGCTACCGTATGCACTACAGGTTTTGCTTTCCTTCTTTTACCTCCATTCTTCTATTAGCCTTAAAAAAAAGAGTTGACTTCACACAATCTTACTGGCAGTTTCTACTGAAGTGCTTATTCCTGACTATACAAAATACTGAGTAGTTCCTCTCCATCAGTCAGACAAAAAGCCTGAACTGCCATTCATAGAATGGGGAAAACAAACAAAAAAATAATGCTGAAAGAGAGGGGAGCAAGGGAGAGCAAACCCCTTACCCTCTCCAAGCCTGCAAAACTACAACAGGAAGAAATAACACCCACAACCTGTAGCAGGCTGCAGAGACCTGCACTCAAAGCCACTCCAGAGAATCTTAATGCAAGTTGGAGACTGCATACACCCAATGCACTGCAAAGGAACAGCTAATCCCTGAACAAATGTTGAAGGCACAGCATTGCTTCCGTCAACATCTGCACTTGCCACTTGCTCAAGCAAATCTGCTTCCCATTCATGAAGACAATCCCCTTGTGGCTCCCTGCTCTTTGCTTTTAGAGGAAAGAGATGTCAGTTATGAATGGGAACCAGTCCATGAAAACATCAAGTCCTTTGTGAAGCTGAAAGATTATCTAGGTGCCAGTTAGGTAGCAGCACTGACCGAGCAAGGTCTCACAACCTCTCCTTAAGCACCACCTGCTGACTGCACTTTTCTTGCCAAAGGTTCCTCAAACTGATAGGAAGCAGCTTCCCCTCTCTGTCTCTGCACGGCCGTGGAGTGAATTTGCAGTTAAAAGACTTCGCCCTCCAGTGGATGACACCCTCAACTGCCATCTTGCTAAAATGCAGCAGGATTTAAGCTACTACAACTGCAATGCTACCTTCATTGCTGCTAGAAGCACATCACAAAAACTATCCTACTGGTCCCCAGATTAAAAAAAAAAAAAAAAACAAAAACACAAAAACATCTCTAAACAAACAGGCCTGGTCTGCAAAATCACTGCTATTTTTTATAGCTTCATGGTTTGAAGGGAATTGCCTGAACTTGGAAGCACAACAGAAAAGAATCAGCTGCAGCCTCACTTCAACCAATCAATACACACTTCAGCAGAGCAGTCAAACACAGACAGCAGAAGGTTAGACATACCACTACACTGTGATACCTCCTCCTAAGACTTCATGCAGCAGGGAAGCTAGGAATAAACTCAGTTGCTTTATTATTTTCACATTGACAGGAAATATGATTTGAATACAGTTATTTTTAAAACTAGGTTTAATCAAGTGCATTTAGAATTTACATTTTTCCCCTTCTTTTTATGTACACAAACCTTCAATAGAAATTCCATACATACAATGAAAACATTGAATGCGTTATAAACGAGCAGCAAAACATCCTCCCTTGGACAGGCAAGTTCACAGAGATGCTACGTCTGAGAAACAGTAAGTCAGAGCTCTTCTGCAAAGCCACAAATATGAGAGAACAGAGTGTAAGCATAAATTTTAACCAAATGGCATTTAGCAAAGTTACAAACTGCCCTAATAACATCCTGGCAGTCAGAGCTTGTGCCCTCATTGTATGGACTCATCCACTGAAAATGATGGCTTCAGCTTTAAGGCAATTCCTCCTCTGCACCACTGTCAGAACAAAGCAGTACCTGCTGGCAGAAGGAGCTTTTCCATGCACAACAAAGGTTCTGTGTTGCCACAGCCACTCTCTCTGATTTTGAGAGGGATACACAATTTTTTAATCTTTTTTCCTCTCCACACTGTTAAGACATGGACAGAAGCACCAGCCCTCCTCCGTATCACCAGCTGCTGGCCAGCACAAGGAACAGCAGGTCCAAGGACTTACCAGCAAAGCACACTTGGCCCAGTTCTCTGGCCTAGCTCATTTTTAGTATTAATATGAAATGGGACAAGGCAGTTGCTTTACCAACCTGCTCATCTACGCTGATGCAAATTAGTGAGAAATCTCATAATCTCATAGTGGGCAACAGAACTGTCACAGAGCAGTGGAGGGCAAATTAGAAAGGAAGAATAGCAAGTTTCTTCTTCTGCACAACCAAGTGCAGAAGAAAATGCTTGTCAACACCCCAGGTGCTAAAACTGTGACAGAACTGGGCAACTTAAGCCATGCCTGACAAGGAGAAGGGTACTTTTTCTTTCTACATCCTTTTTCTTGGTCTTCACCCCATCAGTGGCGATGTGTTTGGGGAATTTTTTTTGTTGTTTTTTATTTTTATAAACAAAAAACAAGAATGAAGGGCTGAATTTATTTATTCTAAGGACATCAACATGCCAACAGGGAAACTTTCTGAGCACTTTTAAAGCCCACACAACACCATGAGGTAGGAAGTCAGACTGCATACTTCATACAACACTTACCAGTATTGCTGGTTTTGAGTTTAGGAGCATTGATAAATAGAACTTCCCAGAATAACCAGTCCATAAAAATTTGTGCCTCACTGTTTTAACAGGTCCGACTTGAAAAGGCTTTAGTACACCATAAAACATTCAAACGTATTTCCAAAGTTCTGATTGCTTTTCTAAACAGTAAGGAGCTCCACACGTGAAGGTTTGGGGATCAAAGTTCTCAGATACAGGCTCTCATCACACCAGTACTGTTATAAAAGTACTATCAGCATTTCCACGAACCTCTCACTCTATCAAAAGCAGATTTACAAACCCACTGTAGTGCACAAAATAAGGAAGCTTACTAAAACACGCAAGGAAAAGCTCAGCAGGAAGTACAGAAGGAAAAGCTCCCTATTATCACAATCTGTGCAAACTCCTGCAAACTTTCCCAGACAAAAATACAACAAGGGTATAATATCACTACATACTTTTAGAGTTTGAAAGTATTTAGACTTCTTTGTGTGTGTGGCTTTAAAGAGAAATGCATTTTTACTCATTAAATCATTTATGCTGCTATTTCACTTGAAATTGAAATTCACACTTATGTATCAGTAACACTGATGCAATATTGCTGACAAAGAGAAAATGCCAATGGAACAGACCAGGTTCTACAGAGGGAATCCTTTGAGTCTTCTGTGCAATAATTCTATCTAAAGCTGACATCAGTCTTAAGGAAGACTCAAATACTGTAAGGGTATTTAAAGCTCTTTTGTTCCAGAGAGATTTTTATCCAGGTAAAAACACCAAAATATCAACCAAATCAGTAAGTAACAATCATGAATTTCAAAACACAAGCAATGCCTCAGAAACACTGTATGCTAAAGAAATCTGAATGTGCTTCATTACAGATATCAGTCTCAGAACATTACAGCGATCTTCACAATTGACAAAAATTCATAGCAGAGATGAAAAGTTATCACTTTTAAAAGCAAACAGCTCAGCAGAACTTGTCATACTGCTTCTGAATTGAAAGAAAAAGAGGAATCAATTTAAAACATCTGAATTTAAACCAGCTGAAACTTCATGATAATTATTTTGGTCCTGTTCTAGTCTCCTTTTTCTACGATACTCTCTTACATGCTAAACTGAAACACAAAAATAAAATGAGAAATCAAGGTTCCATGATTTTAGCATTTAAATTAAACATACGTGATTTCAGGTCTTTTAGCAAGTCTAACAAGCAACAGAGATCTCAAAAGAAGTTTAAGGGATATAGACAGCAGGAATTTGCCCTATCAGAACAAAAGAAGTTAAAATGACAGTGAAATTTCTAACACATCAGGATAGCAACTGCAAACAAGCATGAAATGTCAAGGGCAGCTCTCTACAACTGCGTGCAAGTAACAAGAATTCAAGTCAAAGATACAAGCAAATGCCCCTATAATAAGGAAATGTAATGAAAAAGTATTCACAAGTTTGTCAAGTAACTCAGTTTAACACATTTCTGGCAATTTCTGTGCCACCTGTAAGGCCTCAGTTCCTCAGACAATGCATTTGATACGACCATTTATCAAGGTTAGCATAAGATTTCCAAATTGGCTTTCAGAATTGGTTCTACCTTTATTTCCACAAGTTATCTCAGCCATGCACACACACGCTCACACATATTTACTTGCCCATCTCTACATGTGACTCAACACCAGAGTGAATCTGTTGGATTTCCAAAGCAGTCCCCTATGAATCAATCACAACTACCATCTTTCCAACCATCTCGCCAGCGCTCATCCACACGAGAGCAGTCAAATTCAGATTTGCCCAGTTTCCTGTTCACTTCATTGTGAAGAAGGCATAACCACTGGGAGAAGTTATTTCTGTTGCTAGTGTCAGGCTGATTTGTTCGCAATCTGCAAACAGGGAAGAGGAAACAAGTGTTACTGCTTTAGTCACCAATCTCAATACCCAAATCAGGCACGTAGCACGCAGACAGCCAGTCTCCATTTCTGTTACCATGAGAGGAACACAAAATGGACCCCAGGACAGAGCACACTGTAATCCTCAGAGGCTGAACCTCCACAGTAAAATGCCAGTGATCACAACTAACCTGGTTTCATTCAGCTCCTAGTCTTGTCAATTGTAAAAGGCAGAGGCATCAAAAGGCTTAGCTGTGATAAACAGCAAGAATTATCTGTCATCATCAATACACTGATTTTTTTTTTTTAAGGATTCTTAGCACAGCAATACACGAAAAACATTAAGCAGGTTTTTTGCCACGTGATACTTGATAATTTTGTTTCAAGTGTTTTTTTCATGTTCATTATCCAAAAAAAAAAAAAAAAAAAAAGAAAAAGAAAAGTTCACATTTTTGAGAAACACATTGATGGTGACAGGGGTAGAAAACTACCACGTAACACAGCTCGTTTCAAGTATTTGCCTCCCCTGCTGAGAGGTTGTGGCTATTCTGAAATATAAGCACGCTTGCCTACCAAACCCTGAATCATTTCAAGTCCAGGTTGCGTGCAAGTCTAGTCTGAACCAGAAGGCCATAAACTGCCTCAGGGAGGCCTTGGGGGCAGCACTACTTAACCAGCAGCACTATTAAAGGTATTTGTTTTCTGAATAAGTCTTTCTTTGATCTATGCAGCGGAAGAAACCAGTTCAGTTGTCTATAAACCCCAACAGCAGGAAGAGCAAAGATGTGCAAATACCCATGGCAGGCCAGTACTTCAGGTCCCTTCAGCAATAACAAAACAAAACAAAACAAAAAAAAAAAAACAGAAGAAACCGATGAGGCAACTCACCTTTCCCTCAGATCCTCAGCGCAGTGTTCACACGGGTAGAACTTGGAGAAGAGGTGGATGAAGTCCCTCATCTCCTGCTGCTGGGTGCCCGAGGGGCGCTCAGGGTAGTAGGCCGCCATGGTGTGCAGGAAGGCCCAGGTGCTGCGGCCCAGCTGCTCGCTGTCCAGGGGGCAGTCGGGGGGCGGCTCCTTCTCCTCCACCGTTGCCTGAGGGAGGAGAGGGAGAGAGCTGTGGGTGCAGCGGAGGAAAGCATCACGGCGAAGGGACGGCAACAGAGCCCAGAGCCAGACGCACGAGGGGGAGGAAATGTGAGCTCCCTGGCACCCCCGGGGAGGGGGAAGCGGGAGGGTGCGGCCCCACAGCGCTGGGGGTGGGGGAGAAGCCCGCTACTCGCCACGACCCCGGCCCACACCCCGCCTTACCACGCCGCTCGCCTCCGCCTGCTTCCTCTGCTCGCGGAGCCAGCTCTTGAAATCCGTACAGGCCCTGCAAGGCTTCTTAGGTTGGTCCTCCGCTCCGGAGCCGGCAGCCCCGGGAGGGACAGTGAAAGGAAAAGCGAAAGGGCCGCCTTCGGTGCCGGGGAACGTCGAGGCGCCGCGGCCAGGCCGGCCCTCACTGGGCGCCGCCATCTTGGCGCCGCGGTGCACTGTGGGCCGGGGGCGGCCGCGTCCTTTGGCAGCGCGGGGCTGTGGCTGCCCGGCCCTGGGAGGGCGGTTTGGGTCTAAAAGTCATGGAAGTGCCCCTCAAGATTTTGAAGGGGGTTTTGAGGATGTGAAGTGAGAGGGTTGCTCTTTTCTTTCTGTTTGGTTCAGTGCTGTTGTGCCCTCAGAGGGGTTTCCAGGCTGTAGGATGGATATCCCACCATGAGCTCTAGAACACAGTTTGCACCCCTTTCCACTTTTCACCTCTCCATGTCCTGCAGGCCAAGTGAAAAACATAGCATTCTCTTTAATACATGTGTGGCTGGGATGAAGGTGGGCCAAAACAGCAGCTTAGGATGACTTAAATCGTCAGTTTGTGTAGGATTTTTGACACACAGCCCAGTTCCCATTCAGACAGCACCAACCTCCCATGTCCCATTGAGCAGCTTGGTGAAGGATTCCTCCAGAAACAGAAATGACTGCACATCTCCACATGCTGTTCCTTCCTGGATGTTCTGTAGCTACTTGAAATGCACCCTGAGTCTTTTCTCTGATGTTAAATTAAGTGCTGTTCCGTTGCAGATTCTGCAGAGACACAATTTGCATGAAAGGGGCTGGAAAAGTACTGCTCATTTTCAGCTCTTACATTCTGATGTATTTAACCCAGCGTGGTGAAACGTTTTTGGTAGATAACGCGTCAAAGAAAATGCTTCAAAGATTTGCCCTTAGAAAAGATATCAAAACTTAGTGTGCTCTGCATGGGAATGGCCCATGTGTTTCCTGGTCCACACAGCACTGCATTGATGATCTCTGTCCTCAGGCCTGGCTCTGTTATTCATATTTGCAATTTCATGAAAACATTTTGTTGCAGTCATTCACAAGGGAAGGAGAAGAAACATGAGCAACTGCAGCTACTGGCTTTGTCTGAAGTCGTAGACAACCATAAATACAAAAATATCTCATGTATGAAAGGGACAACCTAGTAAAGGAAAATATATTCTTTATATTTGTTTTCCTGCATGCCATTTAAGTGATGCTGATGACCTCAGGCTTTTTTTCAAATTCTGAAAAAAAGAGTATGCTGGTATAGAAGAGACATCATGGGAATTTCCTGCAGTGCCTTACTGCTCAGCCTTCTGACAATTACATAGTTGCAGAGATGCTTGTAAGTCAAAGCGGTGTCCTTGATTGACTGTTAACAGTCTGTTTGCTTTCTTGTTAGTGATTACATTTATTTAGTCAGTTAAATTATAAGCAAGATTGATTTTTATTTGAAAGCAAATAGTTCATAAACTCAGAGAAAACTGTCGCCTAATGTGCGATCTGTGCTCAGTGTTGTTCTCCCTGCCCCTTTTCTGATCAGAGGAAGCAAGAAGAGCAGAAACATTGGAAACATTGCAATGCTCACATACAAATAATAGCGAGGAAATCCACTTTCCTGTCTCTGACTGAATCTAAGTGCAGTCTGACTGTCTCCTGCAGTGGGGATGAAGCATACTTGTACTGCCCAGGTGAGGCTTCCTCAGCCCCAGTCCGGGCACACAATAACCTGCAGCAGGCTCTGCTAACAACACACCTATATCTTGTTTAATGTAATTGTATCTGGAAGACAGGGCTCACCAAAGCTTACTGGATAGGTACATCTTCCGAACAGTCGCTCAGTAACTGGAATAGGGGATGTAATGACGCTAATTACCAGGAAGCATTGGTAAACTCTGTTCTGGAGAAAAAGTGAAGGGTGTGTTTGTGTTTCTGAAAGGAAGACTGCTGTTTGATGTTCTGCTCTTATCTTGGCATTCACTAAATTAGCTCACAAGCTGGCATATGACAGCGAGTGCACAGGGAAGGAAGCAGAAGTGGGGCAGTAGTGGGAGTTGAGCTGTGCGTGAGGCCAGGCACGCATCCTGCTGCTCACCCTCTGGCCAGCTGGATTGGGCACCTCCAAGTCCCACACAGGAGTGGGGGCTGAAAGCAGCAGCAAGGCAGGAGGGAAGAGGGGCGGAAGGGAGACACCCAGGAAGCAGCTCTTCTCACTGCAGTTGAGTCCCCAGCTACAGCAGAGTGCATTCGGGTATGGTTACGTTGACAGAAAACCTGCTAATTTTCACAGATAACTGGTGCAACTAACAGAGGACACAGCTCTTGCTGCTACCCTTATGGCCCACTTTCTAGGATGCAAAGGATATGGAAAGGTAATACTCAGTCCAGGCTGCCTTTTGGCATGTAATTGTCTCTGTAACTAGATTTTGAGCAGAGAATAGGGAATGATACTTGCAGAGACTTTTGCTTCACTTTGGAACCTAAACATCACTGACTTTTCATGAATGTATTTTAAGTGCTTTAGAGAATTTTCACAGAATCCCAGACTGGTTGAGGCTGGAGGCATCTCCGGGTCCCTCTGGTCCCATCCTGCTCCAGAGCAGATGCCCAGCATCACATCCAGATGGGACTGGACAAGTCTAGAGGGGAGACCCCACAATCTCTCAGGGCATCCCCATTCCTCTCAGGACTTATCCTGTATCTCTCAGGACTGTCACTGCATTTTTGGGATGGTTGTGTAGATACTTCCAGTTGAATATAACAGTTACTCTGCCAGGAAGTTGACATCTGTGCACAGGTCAGAATGTGAGCCACAAGTCCAACTAATTAGAAAGACAACATTAAGAATTAGTCATGCATATTGCTGAGAACTCACAGTGAACTAGGAAATGGCAGCTGAAAAACACAGTGTATATTTCTAGGTATATGATTCATATATACTGAACAGCTTTACCCAAGAAACACATTGCTTGCAGAGTTTCACAAGACACAAACCTGTCTCCTGTTATCAGGAAGGAGTTCGCTGAGGTATGGAGGTATGTGAGGTATGGACCTCACACCTCACTGCCAGAGACATCAGACCCTGACCACATCTGTCCTGGGATACTGAGATCTGTTCAGAAGTGCACTGTATGGGATCAGTGCTGCTGGGGGTTCAGTCTTCTTCCTCACCCTTCTGCAGCTCTCCCTGTCTTTTGCATGGTTCCTTTCTCCAGAAGTAGGTCAAAGCAAGTAGACAGCAGTAAATCTTAACAGGTGGTGGAGGAAGAGATTTTCCTCATATAACAATTCTGATGAAAGCGTGTTGACTTTTGAGGTATTAACACCACGAAGCAGCAGTTTGCTTTCCAGTAGACTCTTCTCTACACTGCATTGTTGAGTGAGGATTAAGCATTAATTTCCCTGCTTTATGAAAAGAAATAGGAACACAAACATGTAGTCTTCACTCTGAAATAAAGGTGCATTTTTAACTTGGACTCCCAGAGCTGGAGGAAACTCCAGAGAGATAAGTAAGACACTTTGCATATTCTGCTTGTTGGTGGTGGGGAATGAGGAAAGGATGACAGAAGAATTAGCATTTCTCTGACTAATCTGCAAGGAATACAATGGTTTTGTCTGTGACCAGATTTTACCACACTTAGCGTGAAGCAAGAATAGATTTTACCTGCTTGAAAAGAGTATTTCTGCACATTGGCTAATCCTTGCTTGGTTTCCTTTGGGTTGTGCTTCTGAGGATCCCCACAGGGTTCCTGAGGTTCCATCCCGCCCTGCCGTGGGTCTCAGCACAAACACACTGTGCCCTTACCACAAAAAGCGTTCATCAAACACCTCTTGTTTCTTTGCTCTAGGAAATGATGCAGGAAACTTTCTCTTGTCACAGGCTTAAGTTTCATTCTTATCCTTCCTGGAAGCTTTATTCTTGAATCACGTTTTTGCCCTTTTTATGACCTTAGGAAAACACACAGCTTTTACAAAGGAGCTATGGTTGCAACAGGTGCTTTGTAAATGTCCTTTTAGTATTTTATGGGTTCTACGCACACCAGATGAGGAAGGCGGCTTTCCCCCTGCCCTTGGCAGCTGTGTGCTGAGGGCATTTAAGGGAAAACCAACAAATCTGCTCTGTGCTTTCACCCTCAGTGGTGGGTGTGAGGTCTGGGGGTTGCCATGCTGCAATGGTTTTTACCAACTGGGGCTGGGATTGTGCTGCCAGTGGCCTGAGAGTGGTCTGAACCCCAGAGCATGGAGACAACGATGGGGGTGTTCCTTGCACCTGCCCATGGCAGATCAGCCTGCACCGTGGGCAATTTGCTGTGATTCAAACGAAAACTCCACTGCTGGATATTGCAGAATGCATTTTTGGTGCTGGGCAGATTCTGCAAGTTCATCACCTAGACAGAGATGTCCTGCAGCCCCAGTGCATCAGGCTCCAGTTGTTACACACATGAGATCATTATCACAGCTCTACTTGCTCAGTCCCTCACCGATTATCATTAAGGAAATCTTTCATGAGGGAGTGAAGCCACTGCTGAAGTTCAGCCCTGGGGATTGCTGTGTCCTGAATTGGATTCAGCTGCATGCTGAAAAATGCCTCATTCTGTGCAGCAGCTGCAGGAGTTAGGAGGAAATCAAATACCTTCTTCTGGATTAAGTACTGTAAAATCTCTCATCCCAGGCTTTGTGATTGTTGGACTTCTTATTGTTTATGAAGTGAAGGATATTACTGTCAACTCTGGTGTTTGATTTTTTTCCCTTTTAATCAGTGTCTGTTTATCTATTTAACAGAAGTCTAAAACCTCTTTGTACTCTTAAAATCAGCTTTTAGCAGCTGGCCTTTTCATTAGAGGTGCTGATAGGTTATGTGCTATCACATAAGGTGACCTCCAAGAACAGCAAAGGGCAGGTTTTGATCCTGAAGGTGATGGGGGAGAAGGCTGAGCTCTCATACCAGCATCACTCCTAGCAAATGCCCCCCTCTGCCTTGCCCATGGTACAGCACCTTCCTTCTGCTCTCTGTCTTGCAGCTACAGGAGCTCAAGTGTGCTCTGAGGACTTTGTCTCTCTGCTTTTCCCTAGAGAGTTTGCAGAGGATCACTGAGTCCAGCAGTTCCTACCGTGTTGGACGTAAAAAGATACATGCATGAGTTCAGGTCTCAGCTTGAGCAGCTCAGACCCAATCCTATGTGTAGAAGAGGATGTTTGTAA